TCCCTCAGGGCTCTAGATCCCTGATCCATGGAAGAATTCCTCAGACACGGCAGAGGGACTGCTGTGAGCCCCGGGGGCCCCACGGCCACAAGCCAGGTTGTTCCATCCGGTCACTGCTCATAAACTCCTATGAGGAAATGGTCTGGACTCCAGAAAAGCCTGGGCCTCTCCCGAAAGCATCTCTGCTGCCCTCCGTTCCCCAAGAAGACAGCCCGTCCATCACATCCCTGTGCTCCCAGCTGCTACACTTCAGAGGCCTAACACAGAAAGGGTAGGGGGAGACTGGTCTCTCAAAGCTTCTCCGGCCTGACATCTGTGTGACATGACATCCTGTTATAACAAACAGCCTCCGGCAGCGCGCGGTCATTTGCACATTCCACATCTTCCAGACTACATCTGACAGCATGCAGCTTCCCACGCTGCTCCCTCACCCCAAGCAGGAGCCCCCTAAGGCGGGGGCTCTGGTGCCCTTTGGACTGTTCCTTCCTGACTCCCACTCACCCATCGGCGCTCAGGCCGGGGCTCAAGTTTCAAGGACTCTTCTTGGGTCCTTCAGAGTGACCTTGAGCTGACCCACACCACCATATGGCTTCCCTTATCTTGGCTCCACGGCACAGCCCCTCAGGGTCCCTCCTGCCACGCTTCTGGAGGCTGTGGTTCCTTCCTCCCCCCTCCCATTGCACCCACTGCTCTGAAACAGTTGCACATGACTTTCTCCTATCTTTCAGGCCCACCCTACCCTTCCGGTCAGCACCAAACCACACTGCCTGCAACATGACTCATCCCTTCCCTCAGCTTTTGGACACTCAGACCAGGGAGCCAAGGGGAAAGAGAATTTGGACAGGGACACCAACCTGGGGGAGGGGGACAAAGCGGTCTGAGGGACAAAAAGCCAGGTTAGAGCCTGGGGGCGGGGACGTGGCTGGTATTACATATTGCCTGGTGAGTACGCACATACGAGTATAATTGCATCCAAGGGATTTGGATTATAAAGGAGAGTACCGTCGACTGGGTGTGTATTAGGAAGGACGGTGTGCGTGCCGCGGGCAGGTAGAATTAGGCCTAACGCCTATACGCTGCTTCAAGCACATTAGGGTTCCCCTGGGTAGAATGACGGGTTGCCAAGTGCTCAGTGAGTGTGGGCTCTCCCTGTATTTAACAGTCCAACCTGGGCCCCGCCTCCAAGTCCCCTCCCTTCCCTGGAACAGCTATACCAGTGGTTCCCGAACCTTCTGCCTGCTGGAAATCGTGGGGCCTCTTTAAAAATACCGTTGCCCTCAGAGATCAGATCTAATTGCTCTGGGCTGCACCCCAGGCATCGGGATTCTCCAAAGCTACCCAGGTGATTCTAATGGACATGAAGTCTGGGAGCCACTGAGCCATGGCACTTTTTTCAAAGCCAGAGCTCAGTCTGCCTGACGGTCAGCAGCCTTGGGGCAGGGTATGCAGCGACAGAGGAGGGCCGCTTGATAGCTCCAAGCGACCTGCGGAGTCTATCATCAATCCTTGCCTGGGCTCCAGGCTCTGTGTCCTACAGCGAGCGGATTACTCTGATTACTGTTACTGCCTCACCGCCTTCGGGTCCAGCGTGGCAGGGTGGGGAGAGCCAGACAGTCCTAGAACCCTGCCTTTCAGTGGAGGCAAACAGAGAGGGTGGGAGGGGCTGGGGAGAGGGGGCTGGGGGTGGGGACAGGCTGGGCCAAGGGCATCCGGCACAAGGGCAGTCCCTGCAGCCCTGGGTATTTTGGCGGGCCAAGAACGACCGCTCCGTGCTCGGAGGGGCTGGTCGGCAATGCTGCGGTGTGACTGGGGGAAAGGGGTGCCCAGAGGGCTGGTCAAACATTACTGCCGGGTGTATCCGTGAGGGTGTTTCCAGAAGAGATGAACATTTGAATGGGCAGAAGGAGTAGCAGAGATGGCTCTTGCCAGTGTGAGTGGGCACCAACCAATCCGGGGAGGCTGTGGATCGGACAAAAAGCAGAGGAAGGGTGAGTGCGCTCTCTCTGCTCGGGCTGGGACATCCGTCTTCTGCCCTTAGACATCGGCACTCAGGCCTTGGGACTCAGGCTGGAACCGCACTGCCAGCTTTCCTGGGCCTCCAGCTTTTGCCAACGGCAGATCGTAGGACTTCTCAGCCTCCACGATCACGAGGGCCAATCTCGTGTAATAAATCTCTTTCCGTGTATCTCACTCTACGTCCCATTGTTTCTGTTTCTCTGGAGAGCGCCCACACGCCGTGCTTCGAGGAGAAGGTTATGATGAGGGGCTCAAGGCACCTCCAGGCTCAGCACTGACTCTGGGTCCATCATTCAACCTCTCTGGGTCCAGGCTCAGCACGGAGGGCCCATGCTGCACTGTGATGTGGGCAACGATCACGAAAGCTAGCGGCTTCCATTTCTTGAGCGCTTAGCACGGGAGCCGACGCATAGTGGGCACTTCACGTGGATTACCTGTTTACTTCTCATGATAGCCACGGGATTGGTGCCGTTATCACCCCCATTTTACAGATGGAGAAACGAAGGCCTGCAGAGATCAAGTCCCCTGCCCAGGGTTAAACCGTATCGATCTCATTTCAGTCTGGACTGTCTCCTAAAGGTGAGAAAATGGCAAACATTGCCATTCCTAAGTGGACTGGGGTGTTTGGTACACAAAACAAAGGAAACACAACGTTCAAGACTTCTTCCCACGGGAAAAATTGTTACGTCTACATAGAACCTTGTGTAAATCTGCCAAAGGCTATGGGGCACAAGGCCTTGAGGACTGAGAGGGCCACAGAAGGATCCGCATAGAAAAGCTGCTCTGGCCAATGTAGACAGCAACTTGGGTGGGGGAAAGGCTATGATGCCCCGCCCCGGGCTAAATGAGAAACCCGGAGCTGGAGAGCCCTTAGAGAGCGGGTTCCCTTCCTGCGCCTTCCGCCCCCAATTCCAGTCCTTGCTGGTGAATTAGGAGATGCCAGGGCGGGTGTGAAATGCCGGGTTCTGGGTCAGAAGCTAACCTGAAAAGCAGACTCTGGACTAGAGTCAAACCTGGGTGGAGGTTTGAACCACTGTGGGGATTAAAATGGGGCCCTTGCCATCAGCTCCAAGGGGCTTCTTCAACTGGGCAGTCAGCCCCCTACTAAACTCTCAGCTCCAGACCCCAGTTCCGCACCCCACTGCCACTGGGGCACTCCCCTCTCCTGGCCCACAGGGTAGAGTAATAAAAGAGTTTATGCTGCAGCCAGAGGCTATAAAAGCTCAGCCCTACCCGTTGTGTCTCTCACTGATGTCCTAGCCACAGCCTCAGCCGCTGGAGAGGTCCCAGGAATAGGGAAGCCTCTCCCCAGGGTTCCAGCTACCATAAAACAGTCGGCATTGGGCAGGAAGGTTAGGAGACTCTTGTCCTGGCCGGAGGGGCACTCTCAAGTACAAAGGGCTTCAGTGGAAGGTTAGAGGGGAAGATGAGACCACCGCCCCCTGAGGGGTCTGGCTACTCTGGGATTTCCCAGGAAAAGAAAGCATTTGACAACATTTCCCCTGGAGTTTAGGTGTGGGGAGGCAGGAGGTATTCTGGCCCCGCCAGCTTCCTTCTCCCCACACACAAACCCACCTGCCTCTACCTGAATGTGAGAACCTAGCTTGGGCCTACTGCGTATGGAAGGGCCACAAAGTCTTCCCAGCTGGGATGACCGCCCACACCCCATGGTCCACCTATGTCCCATGTCAGTGACAACTCAGTAGTTTTGGGACAGGTCGGCAGTCAAGCCCTATCTCCGCTGTCCACTGGATCCCCTCACCATGCTTATCTATGGCAGTTTTGCTGGGTCCCTAGCTGCCTCCCCAAGTTCTGCCCCTTTCCTCTCAAGCTCCCACTCTCTAAGAGGGAGGAGAGAGAGATGGCTTGGGCGAGGCTCTATAGCCCTGAACTTCTCCAGCTGCCCAGCTATCTAACTGGCCTCACCTCTCCACTTCCCCAGAGACAGGGCCTCCTTTTATCAGAAGAGGGGCTGGTGTGTGCATGTGCGTGTGTGTGTGTGTGTGTGTATCAGGAGACTCCTTTCAAGTACCTACTCCTCACCCACCCTCTTTCCTTCCAGAATTCCTGCTGCTGGGTCACCGTTAGTCACTCACTGCCCTTCCGGGCCCATTTACTGATAACCCCCCAGTTCCTCCAGTCTCCCCCCAACCCCAACAACCTTGGGGGCCACGTCCACCTTCTGGTTCCTTACACATACTGAATAGGGGCTGGTTTCTGCCCCCTTCCTGCAATCTGGGTCAAAACATGGAGGTTGGCCAGCCGTCCTGCCAGGCGCGGTAAGGGGTGGCAACTCTCCCAGAGTGCGGGGACCTCACGTAGGGCCTCTCCCCAGGTTCTCCTTCTTCAAGCTTCCCAGCCTTCCAGACCCAGGAGCAGAGGTAGCTTCTCCTCGGTCCCGGAGGGACAAGGGACAATCAGCTCTTACCTCCCAGCCTCCCTCCCGCCATGCCTCCGGCCTAGAACGGTGCAACACGAGAGTTGGTTCATAGACTCCAAGATGTCAGAGCTGAGGGGCCTGGAGCCACCTCACCGACCTGTGCAGAGGTGAAAAACGAGGCCCAGAGAAGGAAAGGGACTTGCCCAAGATCACACAGCAAGAACCCAGGACCTCTGACTGCCAGCCCAGGACTTTCTCCTCTAGAGCACAGGGAAATGACTCCAAGAAGGGAGTCAACTCTTTTGAAGGAGAGTCCGCACCTGGAGGGCTCTGGGAGAGCTGGAAGAGAAGTGGGCAGAAGGCTGGGAGTCAGGGAGAGAGAAGGGGCCTGGGCACCCAGAGCAAGGGGGTGAAGGGCTGGAGGGCCGGCGGAGGACTTCCTCCAGCAGAATGAAGGGGCCGGATCTGGGCGCTGGGGACCCCGACGACCCCGGCTCAGTCTCTCCCTCTCCTGGCCCGCCTTCCACCTGCAGGCCTCAGTGCGACCGGGGACCCCGGAGCGCCCGAGCTCCCACGTCCCTCCAGGCGAGCGACGGTGCCTCACCTTCTTGAAGTCGGCGGTGAAGGAGACGAGGGTGCCGTCGGGCTTGCGCAGCTCGAGGCTGATGCTGTCGGCGTC